CACAGATACCTACCCGAGTCAGGTGTTGTTCCAGGTAGGTACAGGCACGTATAACAAAGGTACAACACAGGTACAACGCAGGTTCATGTACAACACAGGTACAACACACGTACAACACAGACACAAAAGAGGTTCATGTACAACATAGGTATAACACAGGTACAGCACAGATACAACACACGTACAACACACGTTCAACACACGTACAACACAGATACAGCACAGATACAACACACGTACAACACACGTTCAACACACGTAAAACACAGGTACAACACACGTACAACACAAATACAACACAGGTACAACACAGGTGCAACACAGGTATAACACAGGTATAACACATGAACCACACAGGTACAAGACAGGTAGAACACTGGTACAACACAGGCATAATACAGGTACAGCACAGGTAGAACACTAGTACAACACAGGTACAACACAGGTACAGCATTGGTACAACACAGGTAGAACACTGGTACAACACAGGTACAACACACGTACAACACAGGTAAAGCACAGGTACAATACAGGTACAACACAGGTACAACACACGTACAACACAGGTACAACACACGTACAACACAGGTACAAAAGAGGTACGACACACGTACAACACAGGTACCATACAGGTACAGCTAAGGTACAACACAGGTACAGCACAGGTACAACACAGGTACAACACAGGTGCAACACACGTACAACACACGTACAACACACGTACAACACAGGTAAAACACTGGTACAACCCACGTACAACACACGTACAACAAAGGTACAACACTGATACAACACACGTACAACACACGTACAGCAAAGGTAAAACACTGGTACAACACACGTACAACACACGTACAACACACGTACAACACATGTACAACACAGGTACAACACAGATACAACACACGTATAAAACAGATAGAACCCAGTTACAACACAGGTACAACACAGGTATAACACATGAACAAAACACGTACAACACAGGTAGAACACTGGTACAACACAGGTGCAACACAGGTACGACACAGGTAAAACACTGGTAAACACACGTACAGCACACGTACAACACATGTACAAGACACGTAGAACACAGGTATCACACAGGTACAACACAGGTATCACACAGGTAAAACACACGTACAACAAAGGTACAACACACGTACAACACAGATAGAACCCAGTTACAACACAGGTACAACACAGGTATAACACATGTACAACAAACGTAGAACACTGGTACAACACACGTACACCACAGGTACAACACAGGTATCACACAGGTGCAACACACGTACAACAAACGTAGAACACTGGTACAACACACGTACAACACAGGTACAACACAGGTACAACACAGGTATAACACTGGTATAACACTGGTACAACACACGTACAATACACGTACAACACACGTACAACACAGGTACAACACAGGTATAACACTGGTACAACACACGTACAATACACGTACAACACAGGTAAAACACAGGTACAACACACGTACAACACAGGTACAACACTGGTACAACACACGTACAACACACGTACAACACACGTACAACACACGTACAAGACAGATACAACACAGGTACAACACAGGTACAGCACATGTACAACACAGATACAACACAGGTACAACACAGGCATAACACATGTACAAAACACGTACAACACAGGTAGAACACTGGTACAACACAGGTGCAACACAGGTACAACACAGGAACAACACAGGTATAACACAGGTACAGCACAGGTACAACGCAGTAACAAATAAGATACAACACAGGTACAATGCAAGCACAACACAGGTACATTGCAGGTACAACGCAGGTACAACACACGTACAACGGAGGTACAACGCAGCTACAACACACGTACAACACAGGTACAGCACAGGTACAGCACAGCAGGAGGACACTGACTGACGGACAGTCAAAGGAACGTCGCATCATGTCGGGACGCTGGAGGGTCCCGCTGTTGGTCGAGTGTTTTGGTGAGTAACTGCAACGTCTTTGCCTACATCTACGACCTAGATAGAGAGGTTGTGTAGGGCGTTGTTGTATGTAGGAGGGAGAGGGTTCTAGAGTTGGGATGGGGGACTGTAGGGGATCTGTGGACGTCAGGTAGGTGTTTGTGAGAAGGGCGGGGACTTGGGATTAGGTATGGGTGGTTTGGATGCTAGTGATGGGTGGGTAGGATTTGTTTGTTTGTCTGTTTATTGTTTAACGCCGCACTTTGCGATATTCCAGCTATATGACAGGGGTCTGTAAATAATCGAGTCTGGACCAGGCAATCCAGTGACTGACATCATGACCATCGATCCACGCAATTGGGATCGATGACATGCATCAACCAAGTCAGCGAGCCTGACCACACGATCCCGTTAGTCGCCTCTTACGGCAAGCATGGCTCTTCACGGGTAGGGAGGGGATAAGAAGGAAACAATAATATAATTACGACTTTTCCGAAACAATGTTGCTTTACAAAACTCTCTGAAATATCTACAATTGAGGGACACTAACAATGTTCGTTACATGTTGACTGATACCAAGCTAACGTGTACTCTAGTCAGGATGACTTTTGACAGAGAAATACTCATATTCTGACACTAGGATATCCATCTGATGTGAGTGAATCTGTGTGGGTCGATGGGGGGTTTGGTGAGCGAGTGAGTGAGTGCGATACCATCACATTATAAGCATGAAATTAAAACATTTATCCTCATAATTTGGGGATGTATAATGAACTATAATAATGCCTTTTCAAAATTATTTCTAAGTATTAGTATGCTGTTAGACTAACATGTAGTCGCAAAATAAAGTTATCTAACTTAAAAATGTATATCTACAAAAAATGAAATTTAAAATGGAGCCAAGAACAATGCTTAATTCCCTGAGCTTGGGCATTCTAGACTTGCCGGATGTTCACGGCTTGAGTTGGATTCATTTCTTAATTCATTCTCTTGGGTCTGGGAGACACTAAAATACAGTAGGGAAATAGTGAGTGAAATATGAATGTAGATGTATGCACAGGCAACTCGGGACAATAGGAGAATTCAATCGTCGCGTGTAAGTGATTTTAGTTCAGAACGGCATCCGATCTGTCCGAAAATAGCTTACTACTGTTATATGGCAATGTAATTTGTTGTTAAACATTGTTTCTGCTGAGATCCAGTACAAGATCATAGCATTGTGTTTTGAGAATAACCAGTTGTCAAAAGTGTAGTACTATTTGATGCAAGCAGGAGTATAGAAGTTACTCTATTTAAATGTTAGTGTCTGCAAGTGTTTTGTTTGTTTGCTGTTTAACAACACAATCAGCAATATTCCAGCAAAATGACGGCGATCTGTAACTACTCGAGTCTGGACCAGACAATCGAGTGATTGACATTTTTAAAATCCTTATTCTGACGCCTCTCTGCTTTATCCCGCAGAAGCAGGTTTTAAATATCATAAACATTCACGGACGTGCTTTATCCTACAGATAGAGTGTAATTATTCACCTTTATTCTCAATAAATCTGTATTTGATCAAAGTGATTCTCTCTATTTCCTGTATTTATTCAGCCGACTTGCAACAAGAGTCAAAATTATGTGCCAGTAGCTGAACCCACAAAGTCAGTCAAGGTGTGATCGGGGACTCTTGTTTAACGTGGAAACAACGCCACCATCTCCACTACCGCACAGGAGCCCTATCATAAGTTGTCTTTTTGTTTTATTAGTCTTTACTGAATAGCACTCATTCAGCTGGTCCTTGGAGGAGGCCAAGTCGTCTAAGGGTCTGCGATTCTCTGTGTAGAGTTGCACCTTGATACCAATGGTAGTGGGTTCGAATCCCGATTTTCCCTACAGTTATGATCCTTGGTTTGTCAGCGCACCACGTGCATGGGAATTTCACCAAAGTTGTAAATATAAGACTTGCATTACTTTGGGCTTTTCTCCAAATATACAGCTGAACCGTCTTGATACAACTGATATACTGCTCAAAGTCGCCTGGAACAAACTCACTCACACAAAACCAGGTATGCTGGTTACTGAATTGTCTCCCTTTGTCCATAGCATCCCTTCCCTCCATCTCCTCCACGACATGGCATGACGTCATGTTGGACAGTTGCGGCTCTGACGTCGACCTCCTCTTCCGAGATCAAAAACGGGAAGTCGGGAAGTCGTGAGGTCAAAACTGTTCTCTGAAGTATCAATACAGTCTACAATCAATACAGTCTGAAAACGATAAGAATATTTAATCTATTAATCATACAGTCAAGCTTCAATGCGTAATGGGTTTATGTCTTTTTCATCAGGCTTGCGATCAATTCAAGATAGAGCAATAAACTATTCTTGATTTCCCTTTGGGTAATGGCTTTCTCACTTACTCACGAGCCCCGTGAAGATTCCGGGGTAGAATAGGTCTTCAGCAACCCATGCTTGTTGTAAAACCTGACTATGCTTGTCGTAAGAGGCGACTAACGGGATCGGTTGGTCAGGCTTACTGACTTGGTTGATGCATGTCATCGATCCCAATTGCGTGGATCGATGCTCATGATGTCAATCACCGGATTGTCTGGTCCAGAATCGATTATTTGCAGACCGCCGTAATATGTAGCTGGAATATTACTGGGTGTGGCGTTAAACAACATCAAACAAACAATATGATTTGGAACGAGATGATGTCTGCCTATTCACAAACAACTGTGAAATTTAAATAACAAGATATAAGCGCAAGTAATAAATAAAAAACTAAACTCGCACCCGTGTCAGACCAATCTTATGAAACTCGTGAATAGGTCAGATATGATAACTATTCACTGGTTTTAAACAAATTGGCATTACACGGGCGCTCGTTTAGTATCATATATAATTATTTCACAATTTCCAATCCTTAATTATTGGCGTGTAACGTGATAAAACACTTGTAAAATTTGTTCATTTTCCCTATGTTAATACACGCACATCGATCACATGTAAAACAAATGGACACTGTCATTATTATTGTAAACGTAAATAATTATATCAGTTCTAACACGCTTGTAATAAGTGAGTTTTCCTACGTTATCGCCCGGAAGTGACCTGCGTGTCAACAGTGATGGAAGTCTACAGTCCAGGTGGGTGTGTTGTCTCTCGTCTCTCTCACTCTCTCTATCCTTCTACACACAGAAAACTGTTTGATATTCAGGTCAAAACGTACATGTATATGTCAAGATACTACCAGGATGCTGAAGGTTGTACCTGTACCTATATTCTACAAGTTATAGACATGATTTCATTCATACAAGCCATGAAACGCCTTTACTGTGAGTAGTGTATAGAAATCGCTCGGTCGTGTCGCCGTGTGTAATAGAGGTAGAGTATGTGCAGACATGTACTTGCTCAAATCACACCGACAAGTTTGTTTGTTTGTTTTTGTGTTTTTCTGCTTGGTGTTTAACGCCGCACTCAGCAGTATTCCAGCTATATGATGTCGGTCTGAAAATAATCGAGTATGGGGTCTTTTTGTCACTTTGTTATTGTGTTTCTTTCTTGGTTTGTTGTTTAACGCCGCATTCAGCCATATTCCAGAGTTTAACGTGGTCTGTAGTCAGACACTCCAGTGATTGACACCATATGCATCAATCCACGCAATTGGGATACGATGACATGCATCAACCATGTCAGCGTGCCGGACCACCCGATCCAGTTAGTCGCCTCTCACGACAAGCATAGTCGCACACTTATAAACGATGTGTGTGTGTGTGTGTGTGTGTGTGTGTGTGTGTGTGTGTGTGTGTGTGTGTGTGTGTGTGTGTGTGTGTGTGTGTGTGTGTGTGTGTGTGTGTGTGTGTGTGTGTGTGTGTGTGTGTGTGTGTGTGTGTGTGTGTGTGTGTTAGCTGACTGACATACCTAGTTTCTGTATTTAGACGACAAACACCTGAACATACTGTGTGAGATAAGAGTAAGGTCTTTTTGTCACTTTGTTATCGTGAGTCATGGAGTTGTGATGCTTATCAAGAGGACTCTTACTGCTGTAATGTTGCTTGTAGAGTAGGGTTACTGTGTATATCCAATTAATGGCCTGTGTGCTGCATAGATTGCCGTTGATTATCCAGTAGTACATAAAGAAGGATGAGTTATTTTGTTAATGTTAGGTGTGGTGAGGTGAGCTGAGGTTAAAGGTCGCATTCATGATTATTGCACTTATATAGCTACGTGCATGTGTGTCTGTGTGTGTGTGTGTGTGTGTGTGTGTGTGTGTGTGTGTGTGTGTGTGTGTGTGTGTGTGTGTGTGTGTGTGTGTGTGTGTGTGTGTGTGTGTGTGTGTGTGTGTGTGTGTGTGTGTGCCTCCTTGTACTAGTCCGGACTAATGCCGATTTTATAGTGCTAGCCAAATGAGATACCACGCCGCAGTTTAACATGAATACCCAACTTAGAACAAATATACTGACTCCGAGCAGACTAATTGTTTTGGTCTCTTAATGCCGAGCGCCAGGTTACAACAAGTACCGACTTTAACGTCTTTTGGTATGAAAGAGGGGAACGAAACCCCCAACCGTCCGCCCCCGTGGAGAACGCTCTACCACTAGACCACGGAGGCGGTCCTAATATTAGGTTCTACATAGTGGAATATAATTCAATTTGATAAAATAGTGTATCAAATCCTGCGGTGATGATAAGATATGGCTTTATTGCTGTGATCACAAATGCATAAGTGCACGCTGAAAGAATGTGTGCTGCTTTATCAGGAGTATCAGTTGTAGGTTGTATCTCATTGTACATGTATGGGGAATGTTTCTGGATCTGTGCGCACCATGTGGGCTTGTGTGCATTAATGGCTTCCAGAAGGTGAATAAGTGCTTATTAAGCAGTAGATCAAGAATATGTAAAATAGGCTGCGTAAAATAGTGCGATGTTTGATGTATTTGGATTTTGGTTGTTTTATTTTGTGGATATTTGTAGTGTGATTTTAATGTACGTGTTATATCTTCGAGTTTGTAGTCAGGGGTAACCGTCTGGTATACACACTTTGTTGTATGTACGCATGATCATTATGTGGGTTTCATGCTACGCTCGACACAGATCAAATTAGTTGTGTGCTACATTTAACATTTGTCCTACGTGACGTCATCTTGCGAGAAGGGGCGCGGGGGTAGCCTAGTGGATAAAGCGTTGGCTCGTCATGCTGAAGACCCGGTTCCATTCCCCACATGGGTACAATGTGTGAAGCCTATTTTCCAGTATCCCCCGGCTTGATATTGCTGGCATATTGTTTAAACTGGCGTAAAACCATACTCACTCACTCTTGCGAGCATATTGTGTAGATGAGTGGACTTCACACAATGTATCCATGTTGGAAATCGAACCCGGGTCATGAACCCAACGACATTAGCGAACGCTTTAACTACAAGACCACCTCACCACCCCAGTGTAGATAAGACGTCTAAAAGAGATTATTTTTATTGACCCGCCCCCACCAGTATGTGACCCTTATGTTCTAATCACTGTTAAGGAGAACCTTTCTAAACTCAAATTTGAAACATGTTCGCACTGTTTACCCACTCATTATAAATAAAGCATTTATCAATGAAGTTCATATTTGTTTTATATTTGTAAGCTAATAAAAAATACAATCTTAAAATTCCTTCCTGTTTGTTTTGAAAAACGGTATGTATTTTAACTGGCCTTAATTATGTGTGAGTGAGTTTGGTTTAACGCCGCTTTTAACAGTTTTCAAGTTATATCGCGGCGTGTCAGCTTAATGTGGAAGGAAAGCCCGAAGTGATTGGGGTCAGACGTTTACCACTATGGTGAAACCCACGAGCACGGGTATGGTGCTGACAAACCTTGAAACATAATCAGCGGGAACTGGGATTCGAACCCACAATCATAGGTTTCTGCCGTGCCCAAGGGACGCAACTTTGCACAACGAATCGCGGCCACCCGTGCACCTAATTATGTGTGACATAGGACAGATATGATTTGGGTTAATTGCGATAGGAGAAATTTAAAAAGTACATGTTTTCAGGCAACAGTTTGTGTTTTCATCAATAATAAAAGTGGCTATAGATTATAGAGAAACGACTCTACTAGGGTGTGGATGAATAGTTCAACAGAACCAAAATGCTTGCCTTCCAGATCAACGCATCAAGTGGCAATGAAATTTAAATTTTGTCCCTTGTATTGCACAGATGGTCTCAGAAAAAACATCTTTTTAGCCAATTCGATAAATATACTACATATTCAGAGACACTAAATTGGATGATTCACTATACGTCGTATGGTTATGGATCTTACACACATACAATTGACATGTGTATCTCATTATTATTTTGTGTCTTTCAGAATGGACACCTTCCCGAAGTGTTCCGTATGTCATCAGGAGTTTACACTGAAAGGTCCAGTCCCCTACTTACTACCCTGTCTACACGCCGTGTGTGAGAAGTGTGTGACATCTGCGGCTGGTGGTGTGATATCATGCTCCACGTGTCAGAGGGAGGTCAACCTCACAGACACAAGTCTCCAGAAGGATGCAGTCAGACAGAAGGAAATATTCTACCTGACCGTCAAACAACGCCCCACAGAGCTCCTCTGTACATATGACGATGACGGGAACCAGGCTGTGTGTTGGTGTCAGGAGTGTGAAGAATTCCTCTGTGAATACTGCCAGAACATGCACAGCAGCGTCAAAATTTTCAGAAATCATGCTGTGCACAACTTTGGGGATATAACCCCGCAAAACCTTGAAAATGAAACCAATTGCAATATTCACGAACGGTATCCACTTGATTTGTTTGACAAAAGCTGCAACAAGTGTATCTGTTCCCAATGTAGGAGAGGGGAGCATGCGGATCACGAGGTTGGTTACCTGGATGAAGCTGCTGAAGGAGTTACACAGCGCATTGAACAACACAGGAAAGATCTGTCGGCGTTACTGTCTCGTCAGCAAACACACCTTCAGAGCATCAGACAAGAAACACAGTTGACCAACAGGATGCAGGACACATTGAGGAAGACAATAGAACATACTTTCCGGTCTTTAAGATCACAACTTGACCAAAGGGAGAAGGAACTCCTGATTGATCTTGAAAGTCAGACGAGGGAAACCAAGGCAATTCTACATGCTCTTGAAACTTCATGTGAAGATCATTATGCAAGATGCACCGACATTTCAGGTTACATCCGAAAATGTCTTCTCTATGCTTCAACATCGGTCCTGCTGCAGCTGGAGACCAATGTTGAGGGGATGACTCGGACCTGCCTAGAAACTGCTTCGCCTGAAACACATGATGTACCTGAAGCTGTCTTCAACACCAATGGCTTGTCCAAACTGAAATCAGATATGTCTGGATTTGGTAACATCGCTGCCTTGGAAGAAGATTCAGAAGGGGGAACACCTGATGGTATGCATATTAAAACAGTTATTTTGCTTTATTGATGATATGTGCCCAAGTTCTACTAAACCTAATTCATGTGTTTCGTGGTGTTATTTTAATTAAAACAGTGTTCTGTCACTCGGGATTCACAATTTGCTTCTACAATTACAGACAAGCACACACAAACTGATGATGACTATTTGGCGGACCTTGAACAGAAACACGAAATGGTAAGTCTAGTTATATAGGGATACACGTAGGCATCGGACCTCAGTCATTCATGCCATCAATTGTTTTATATTTCATTCATATTGTCTAAATATCTAAGAAGTCAATATTAGAACAACTGAACTGATCAAAGTATAGTACCACAAAGACTTTGCAGGTTCAGTCAACTGATGTATCTTAGTCACACAATACTGATATGATTGATAGAATATATTGATACTGTTTGATTAATAAGAGTTCATGTACAGCCTCCAACTCCGACCCAAAGGTAAACTATATTTTACCTTTCAGGAGCTTGCAAAGCTGGAGTCAAATATTGCTTCACACAATGAAAGAACTGAACAACTTCAGCAGCTAACAGACAAGCTGAATGCCGAAGCAAACAACATGAAATTGGTTTGTATATCATTTTGTCCCACTCATTGAGGAGAGAATGGTGAGATTATATAGTTGTTGGTACTTTAGATTTGTCAGATAGAGAAGAGATAGATAGATAAGGGTTTCGTTTAAATACATCATAAAGACATTTACCAGCTATTACCCTATTGCTTGTCTTGTCCAGACTTGATATTGTTGAAGGTCCTGTCACAAGTTGAAGAAGTTTGCAACGTCAACAAAACTATTTTGCATGTATCCTTACTACAAATAAACAATCTTATTTGGCCTATATTTATTTCATGAGCAGCTATCCCCTTTACTTATTTGTAGATGCTAGCTGAGAAAGACAAAAGCTGCCAGGACGCCTTAGAAACCATTGATCGTCTACAAACCCTGATTGGTATGTACACTGTCTGTGGTCTGTTCCGGGTTATGGTCCTGTTTTCACTTCCTGTTTGTGGTCTGTTTCTGGTACTGATCCTATTTTCGTTTCCTGTCTGTGGTCTGTTCAGGGTTATGGTCCTGTTTTCACTTCCTGTCTGTGGTCTGTTTCTGGTACTGGTCCCGTTTTCACTTCCTGTCTGTGGTCTGTTCCTGGTACTGGTCCTGATTTTATTTCCTCTCTGTGGTCTGTTACAGGTACTGGTCTTCTTTTCACTTCCTGTTTGTGGTCTGTTTCTGGTACTGGTCCTATTTTCGTTTCCTGTCTGTGGTCTGTTCAGGGTTATGGTCCTGTTTTCACTTCCTGTCTGTGGTCTGTTTCTGGTACTGGTCCCGTTTTCACTTCCTGTCTGTGGTCTGTTCCTGGTACTGGTCCTGATTTTATTTCCTCTCTGTGGTCTGTTACAGGTACTGGTCTTCTTTTCACTTCCTGATTGTGGTCTGTTCCTGATACTGGTCCTGTTTTCACTTCCTGTCTGTGGTGTGTTCCTGATACTGGTCCTGTTTTCACTTTCTGTCTGTGGTCTTTTCCTGATACTGTTATTGTTTTCACTTCCTGTGTGTGGTCTGTTCCTGGTACTGGTCCTGTTTTCACTTCCTGTCTGTGGTCTGTTCCTGGTGCTGGTCCTGTTTTCACTTCCTGTCTGTGGTCTGTCTGTTTCTGGTACTGGTCCTGTTTTCACTTCCTGTGTGTGGTCTGTCTGTTCCTGGTACTGGTCCTGTTTTCACTTCCTGTCTGTGGTGTGTTCCTGATACTGGTCCTGTTTTCACTTCCTGTGTGTGGTCTGTTCCAGGTACTGGTCCTGTTTTCATTTTCTGTCTGTGGTTTGTTCCTGGTACAGGTTCTGTTTTCACACCCTGTTTGTGGTCTGTTGCTTTATATAGTCTTGTTTGACTTCCTGTCTGTGGAACATTATGACGCACACTTTAGACAATTGCATAAATATACCAAGTGTATCCTTCGCTCCAAATAAAAGGACCCAGCAGTATGTGACCCATCTTTCCGAGGCAAGGGAGTTAAATGAATGTAAAAAGTCCAGTTTGAACCCTTGCCTCGGGAAGATGTATGTCACCTGGTATGTGACCCCTGGACCGAGTCTCCACACAAGGACAATTCCACTAACTCTAAGCTGTTGTTGACTTGCAGGATTCACAACTGAAGGCTGTGTTCATCTGCTGAAGACAGGTGTAGCAGACAGACGCATGGTCCTGCATTGTGAGTACCTAAACTGAAGATCAAAAGAAAGTTCACAAAAGAAAATGTTGAATAACCCCCCAAAATGCATGCAGTCAAATGTTTGTAACATGATGTATACAATTGCCCCGAACGCAGCACACTCGCTTCCAGAGAACCTAAACCATGCAGCTGTCAATGCACGTGCTGCTACAAAAAAAACAGGTTCTCCGGTTCTGCATGGAGCATCCGTGCAGGTACCTGTATTAAGGTCGACCGAAAGTGTCAGACACAATCACATGAACCAAAAACACCTCATACAGACCGCTGCCCGGGATGGTGTTGGGTCCACAACATCGCCAAGATTGACTACGGTCGGACCGACGTCTAAAACGTTGGCAGCGGCTTGAATGGCAACGTGTCTTGTTCACCGATTAGAGAAGGTTCAACCTATTTCGTATTAGTCGCCGAAGGGGAGAAACAATGACTCCTGGCTGTATACAAGATTCCCACAAAAGTCGTGGTCTCATGGTGTGGGGCAGAATATGTGAGGACCAGATTTTGTGTACAATCTTTCTTTGATTTCTTACTAAAAACCTTCTCTCGCGACCGCTTAATATTTTATCCTTCTTCAATATTCATAGCCTGTAAGCATTTAATGATCTTCATCTTCCCGATGCAAGGGAGTTGGCGGACTTTTATAAGTCCAGTTTCCATCCTTGCCAAACAAGACAGGAATTATGGACTTATAAAATGGCTGGACTAACGAGTCTATGCATCGTCCAATCAAAATCGCGTAACAAAATCGACATCCAGTTCCCATACTGCAGTGCAGATTTCTGTGGATTGCAGGATTGGCAAAACATGTGTACCGTCAACTTTCCCGTCAACAGAAATTTTCCAAGTCGTTCATGTCTTTATTCAAGGTGCACACGTGATTTGACTCGTTTTATTACAATATAGATCTTGATTATCGATCTGATGGTCTTGACTGGGTGCCGCCATTTTGTTTGAAGCAAATGTAAGTGCTATGAGAGGTGGAATCGGATTGGGCAATAGTAGGGACATAGACGGGACATAACTCGTAATAGCCACTGGTGGCGCTACATCAGGCCCAGAGATTCCAGCCTGGTTCGGCAAGGGTGGAAACTGGACTTTTCAATCATTGAACTCCCTTGACTCAGGAAGATGCCATTGGTAGGGACTGTTCAAAACATTTCTTACTTATTATATTCAATATAATTAATATAAAAACATTATGCCGACACCAGTGACACTGCAAAGTGTGTTGGAATAACTGAGGATACATGCGGGATCACGACTGGACATGCTACAGGTTGTTGATGTTCTCATTGACAAAATAGAAATCGAACAAAAAAAATGTCCTCGTCATGACATGAGCACATCAGATCCGACTTTCACAAAACTAATAATTTTCGAAAATAACTTTCAGCAATGACTTGAATGAAATTTACAATAACTGGTCGCCGGCTCGCATCTGCTTTCCAAACGACCACGAGCTACACGTGCTAGACCAGCGTTTAATATATTATTTCTTGTCATAACAAACAACAAAAAGACATTTCGAAACATACATCTATTCCAAATATAATATAACATTTTACTTTTTAATGTTAACTGCTGGTATGGGAGCCTGTGTGTTCCAAATAAATCTGAATATATACATAACATTTTAAATTTAGCAAGCAAATTCTCAGGTACGCAATTTCAACACATAGCGAAAGTTGTGAGCAGCAAACTTCCAAAAAATCACATAAAATACTAAATGACAGCAGTCATATATACTGAACCGCAAAAGAAACGTCACCATGATAGACATACATGTGTTATGAGAAACTTTATTTGACCAAACACTGTAAACATACTTTGAGGCATATTAAAAAGATGTTGAAATGAAAGTTTCAAATGTTCTTAAAGTGAAACACAACTCTAGTCTCTGAGAAAATGGCATCACAAATCAGTATCTCGTGTGTCCGCCATCTGCATTGATGACTGTCATGCAACGTCGATAGATGGAATGGATGAGGCACTTGAGCCCACACTCTGAGGAACGCCTGACGCAGTTCAGCTGCAGTTGTCGGCCTTGTCATTCAGCCGTCTTTAAATTCTCGTCCAAAAGGTGCTCAATGGGATTTAAAACGGGACTGAGGGCAGGCCACTGCATGGTTCTGATGCCATTCTGCTGGAGGAAGTATCTCGTTGCTCTCGCAATGTGGGCATGGGCGTTATCTTGCTGAAACTCGTGGTTGCGGCGACGTGCCAAATGAGGTATGGCATGTGGTCTCAAGGTTTGATCAATGTACCGAGCTGCTGTGACACCATTGCCTCTCCCATTGCCTTTCCCTGGACCGATGTTCTGGAAGACCAATTCCACCCCACACCATGATGCTCGGACCACCCCATGAGTCTCCCTCAACAACACACGCATCCGAATAACGTTCCCCACGGCGTCGCCAGTGGAGGTGTCTGCTCGTCAATCGTCGACGCACGGTGTCCGCTCTAATGTGTCGCTGATGTGTCCTCATGGTCTGTTTCCGCAGCAGTTACAAAGCGACCTTTAGATGCTGTCCCACAATCTGACATTCCTGACGTCGGGCGGTGACCCTTGATCTTCAAATACGTGATCGGTCATCTGTAGTGTTGGTGGTCTGGTACCGTTGCTGGAACCTGTTACTGGTCCTTACGTGGACTTGAAATGCACAGGCTACTTGCCGGGCGGTTTGTCCAGCCTGCAATCGTCCAAGGGCTTCGTTTCTCTGTTTTCTTGTCAATCTTGACATGTGGTAGCAATTCAATAACGAATGAATGTTATCCGATCTGGGTGGAAATGGGGCAACTCACGTGCATCTAGTTACCGTGACAAGCAGAGTTAGACATTGTCTCATCATATGAGGGTTCGAATACAAAATATGGATCAGTGTTTCTGAATTCGAAGAGTGAGTGAGTTGGGTTTAACGCCGCTTTTAACAGTATTCCAGTTATATCACGGCGTGTCAGCCTAATATGGGAGGAAAGCCTGAAGTGAAGCAGGTCTCAGACGTTTACCACTTCGATGAAACCTGTGAGCACGGGTATGGTGCTGTCAAACCTAGAAACATAATCGGGGCGAACAGGGATTCGAACCCATAACCATAGGTTTCTGGCATTCCCAGGGGAAGCAACTCTGTACAGTGAATCGTGGCGCCTTATCCGACTGGGCCTCCCGTGCCCCCGTTTTCAGAAGAGGTAAAGGTGGTATTAGGAAGACATGTATTTTTTTCAAATCTATTTATCATATATTTTCAAAGAAAACCCAGGGGGGCCTCACTAGCAAATACAAACCTAGCTACGTGCAGGCTTTCCTGAACATTGACGATAGGATGATGTCACAGAGGTTAATTACCCACCGCCACGAAGTAGTTTAAAGTATTTCAGTCACAAGGAATCCGTCCTATCGACAGGAGACAAATTCGAACGAAAACAGGATAAACGGACAGTAGAATTATGTGCACGTGACTTCGTTATAATGATGATAATGTATTCTTCCTAAAACATCCACACACAAAAATCATTTGGATAAACTTCCAGATGTGACAAAATGACGCTGTGTTTGGTTGACATTGCTCCCATAATGAATGTTACATTACATTGCATAGCCACAGCCAAGGTACAGAATCTTTACACTTTAGAGAGATGTAGGAAAACCATTTATGAATTTAGATAGTGTGAATTACCGACCTGTCCCTGCTATCTCCGGATCATTCATAACTATCACAGTCAGGCTGTCAAAATAATTTACCTTGATGAATCATTCCACTGACTACATGTGGCTATCGGCAGATGGACAAAAAGCCCCCATAGTACCATCAGGTAGAGGTAACCATGTCATTGTTTGCTAGCCACAACCCATGATGTGTGGCTTATTGATGGTTGTGTGCTAGTTTTCGAGGCGAAAGAGAAAACTGGATATTTTCATTAGGAAATTATAGGAGGTGATGAGTTCATAGACTGGTTGGATCTTCAGCTATTGCCCATTTTCAGGGATGTGAAATCTCCGCGGAAACGCGGAAAATCGCGTTTTTTAAAACAGTAGTCCTCGGAAAAAATCATCTTCCGCGTAAAAATTTAACTAAAAAATTTAAAAAAATGATTTTAAAGAACGTCAGTGTCATTGTCATGGATAACGCCAGTTGATATCACGTCCGGGAATTAGATACTGTCGCCCAAACCATGAGTAGTCTGAAGGCGACCATACAGGAATATATGACATTGTCGACTTCAGACTAAATGAAACAAAAGTTCAACTAATGGAGAAAAGTCGGCTAAATAAGAAAACAGTAAAGTACAAGACATATGTGCTGGCCGAGTTATTTTTTCTAAAGGAGGGGTCTTTTGCGTATATTAATTTCACATTTAATTCATTTTTCTGATGACATATAGTGGCTTAAGTGGCTCTTTCTTCTTTAGGCTTTATGTGACTTTTTATGCTAAATATTCACTACTGTATGAACAAACAAAATCCTGCTGTGGCCTATGGCAGGGATGAGTGATGACATTGTTTTCATTTTAGTGTAGAGGTGATCTTCCTCATAATTAACCGAATGTCCCTTGTTTATTGTGTTATGGTTTGTGTCCTGTACTGATAATGCTGCCTGTCTACTATCTCCCAACGTCAACCCGCCGAGACACGTGGGTTCACCACCTCCGACATTGAGACACCAGGTCATGTGACACTGTGATCTTATCATTGTTTGACATGCAATCTACATGTCCCTCGTTATACCACGTTGACTCGTATAAGACGGTATACGCCTGTGATTGCGATTATTCGACCTCTGAATGTTTATCGTGTCTGTTTATCCCTGTTTTTTTAGCTGTTGTTTTTTCAGATTTATATCAAGTCTGATCACGTAATGTTGATGTCTTGTGTCTACTGCTCTGATTCATTTAATAACTTACGAACCATTCACTAGATCTCGGGGGAGAATAGGTCTTCAGCAACCCATGCTTGCCGTAAGAGGCGACTATGCTTGTCGTGAGAGGCGACTTACGGGATCGGGTGGTCAGTCTCTCTGACTTGATTGATGCATGTCATCGAATCGCAATTGCTAGGATTGATGCTCATGATGTGAATCAGTGGATTGTCTGGCCCTGAATCGATTTTGTTACAGACCATCGTCATATAGCTGCAATATTGCGGATTGAGGCGTTAAACAACAAACAAACAAACAAACAAATACCAGACCCATTAAGAACTACATTTACATTCGGGTTAAAGTGTAATCAGTTAGTCCAATGTAAACACAAATCATTGATCAAAATATAATACACATAAGGTTTTATTTCCGGTTCAGGTACAACTGCAATGTGATTATATTACGCTATTTATATATCAGGACAGCGTACCTAGCTGTCAATTACAAGCATGTAAATACCATTATATCTCGCGAAACTGTCACTATATTTGTCTCATGTTTTAATCGCATGTAAACTACATTCATATTTTGTAGGTTTACACCTAAAGTATGACAAAGACAGAATCAATCTGGCCGAAGTCCACATCAACACAGAAGGAGACCTGGTCAACAGGGAGTCGGACACCAGACCTGCAGGGGAGGGGAGACTGAAGAAGTACAGTGGCACATGTAGCACTGCCCCCCTCCCCCGGGCTGGCTGTCCCCAGTACTGGGAGATGAAATCAAGGGTCAGCCTGGATAAAACACTCACAGAGGGCTGGGTCATCCTGGAGGTTGTTTTGTGCAGGGAGGAGCAGATGGACGTGTGTCTTTGGATAGGTCGACTTCCTGGCTTCTACAACATGAACGTCGCCCACTGTACTACACACGGCGGGATATGCAGGGAGACATGGAAGGAGGGGGAGCGTGTGCGGTGTCTGCCTGACACTCTCCCCAACACAGCAGGGGCATCACACACACTACATTACGGTGTTGTCTATGATGACGCCAGGAAAAAGATTGTCTTCATTGATGTGAAGGAGAATAAAGTGATATCGACGTTAGACAATGTAGACTCTAGTCAGCCACTGTGGCCGATGTTCGGGGTGTATCACCCATCCGTCCTAACTGTCAGCATGACACTTGTAGTGGGCAGCGACATCAACATGACAGAGGAGAAGAAAGCAATGATTGTCAAGGCACTGTCGTCATGGTGACAAGGATGGTGATTATGACACATTGTGAATGTTAAGGAGTTGGGGTTTTTTAATGATAGTTATCAAACTGAATGAAATATACTCAGTACATAAATTAACTGGGAATTATATTTGATACAAGGGATTATTTGGAGAAGTTCTGGAAATAGTGGGGCAGTGGGGTAGCCTAGTTGTAAATGTTTTTGCTCGTCACGCCGAAGACCTTGGTTCGATTCCCCACATGGGTACAATGTATGACGCCCATTTCTGTGTCCCCCCTCTGTGATATTGCTGGAATATTGCGGCGTAAAACCATACTCACTCACTCACTGGAAATAGGGCCACTCAACAGTGCCACACTATGTGTATTTAGAGCCTTTGGCGTTGATAATTTTGAACTACGGGTAATTGAGTGAGGTCTTTTTTGTTTGATATGAAATATGTTGAATTCAATGCGTGTATTTAGGAAAAACATCGAATGTATGTTTAAAGACGCCTTCAGCATTTCTTTAGGGTATTTCGCAACAACAGTAAGAGTGAGACTTTGTTTCCTTGCATTCGCTTCAACGGATGAAACTCCCGGACATAGTTTAACCATGCTTCAATGATTACTGATGTGTCTGCGAGTGTAGTTTTACGCGTCTTGAAACAACATTTTCGCAAAATCACACCAGGGAACACCAGAAATTTACTTCCAAGATTTTACCCATGCATGTGTGGAATCGAACCAGGGTCAGTGGTCTGACGAGTGAATGCTCTGAACCACTGAACCACCCCACCGCCCCTGGTTATTGTGGAAATATTGGTAAACTATCCTGTAATGTTGTACACCCGTTTCTTATAAGACTTATGAATGCACAGCGCTTGTATAACATGTATGCTCATATCTGACCTGTGAAGATCCGGGATAGAATAGGTCTTCAGCAACCGATGTTTGCCGTGAACGGCGACTATGCTGTCGTGAGAGGCGACTAACGGGATCGGGTGTTCAGGCCTGCTGACTTGATTGATGCATGTCATCGATCCCAAGTGCGTGGATCGATGCTCATGTTGTAAATCACTGGATTGTCTGGTCAAGAATCGCTTATTTACATACCGCCGTCATGTAGCTGGAATATTGCTGTGGGCGGCGTTAAACAACAAACATCCCCTATAGCTCTACGATGATCTATGATTTTATTACAATATTATTTTCTTAATATTAAAATCGTTTGTCTCCATGGCAAAAGGCTTGAAATGGAATAGAAGGGTGGAATAACTCAATAGTTGTTTTATATTTATTGACTTCTTTTGGAACGATGTATGCTAATTAAAACATTGTAAACTGACGGAAGGCATGGATCGAGTTCCATGCCGAGGTTATAAAGCTTTCAGTCTTTCTCATAAAAAATTAAGATCAATTCGTTTATACCTTTATTTGTTAGATTTCCGCTTAGATTTAAATGTGAGTCATGTATACAGGTATCTATACTTATGTTTAACTGCTTTAGAAGGACTTGTACATACATATCAAACTCCTTCGCCATTTGCGTAGACAGATGAACCTAGTAAAGTGCCTGTTAATGAATAAATTTAACCAATTCACTTCACTTTCATTTTCCACGGATTTAGACAGCATCGTTTGTAAAGGTCGAGTTTTATTAACCTTAAGTCCACAACGACTGTTTCGCTACATCTGCTGTGTTCCTGGCAAAATTATACCGAATTATGAGCGGTTAGATGTTGATGACGTGCATCGCCATCAACTTGTGCGCAATGTATGCATGTCATCACTGGATTATTAACGGGAAAGCTGTTCTCTCATTTGGTTCAACAAAGTCTGTGAGCCTGACCACCTGATCCCGTTAGTCGTACCAGGCGACTATGCTTGTCGTAAGAGGCGACTAACGGGATCGGGTGGTAAGGCTCACTGACTTGGTTGATGCATGTCATCATATACCAATTGCGTGAATTGATGCTCATGATGTCAATCACTGATGTCTGATCCAGACTCGATCATTTACAGACCGCTATCATATAGCTAGAATTTTGCTGAGTGCAGCGTTAAATAACAAACAAACAAACGTGTATCGCCTCTTATGACAAGCATGATGCTGACGACCAATTCTCTCCTGGTTCTTCACAGGTGTTTTCCAAACAAGAGCAGAACTTGTTTATGCCTGAATGCTAATAAGATATGGACTATCTGATACAACTTGGCTTGATGTAAGCTTTGTTCTTTTTCACTGAAGTAGCGCTGTGCTTTTTCCAGCATATCATACTTTCTGCCAGTACGTTGCACCCAAACACTGAATTCAGATAACGAACATAGCAAGATAACTCTTAGCAGTATTTGAACAGCTGCTACCAAACCCACCCACCCACTCACTCACTCACTCACTCACTCACTCACTCACTCACTCACTCACTCACTCACTCACTCACTCAATGGATCCATGGATCAGACCTGTATCTTCCTCAAGTTCAGCAATTGTAATACGTCTGTCAGTAACATCTTTTCTTCTTTCTCCTTGATTGAATCTTCACTCATGGAAGTTGAGGGACGTCCAGACTTAGGGTCATCATCAAGGCGTGTTCTCCCAACCTGAAACATAGCTGCCCAACATTTAACAGTGGAATAACTAGGGCACTTATCCCCATACACTTGTGACATGCGGTCATGACATTCGTTGGGAGTACTTTTCTCTAAAGTCAAAAACTTGATGACTGCTCGGTCCTCGTTTTCATTTGGACCTCTATCACGTCCATTGGCTGTCAGTAATATACAAACAGCTTCAACAGACCAAATGCACTTGCAATGAACAACTCAAACAATGTACAACATTGACTAGTTCACTTTGTTTGAAAGTTAGTCAGACTTACAACTTTTTGACAACCCCGCGTAAAGTCTTTGTTTTGTTTGTTGTTTAACGCACTCCACAATATTCGACCTATATGACGGCGGTCTGTAAATAATCGAGTCAGGACCTGACAATCCACTGATTGACATCATGAGCACCGATCCACACAATTTGGATACGACGACATGCATCAACTAAGACAGCGATCCTGACCACCCGATCCCGTCGGTCGCTCAGTGCGGCGTAAAACAACAAACCAACCAACATGGACGTTTAACTCAGACACCGTATTCACATCCGGTTCCTCACGTCTGTCACTGTCGATAACTCCACTCAGCAATATTTCAGCTGTGTGGAGCCTGGCCGGCAAATCATCACTCCAGGACCAGACAATCCAGTAATTGATGTTGTGAACAACGATCCAGGGGGTACATGGGCCCGCCATCAAGCAAGATGACCAGCCGCTCCATTAAGAGGTCTCTTACGACCAGCATACGTTGCTAGGGAACTGTTCTAACCCGGAATTCCCCCAGGTTGCCAATTTACTACTGTCAACAGCGTGTGTGGATACATCTTACCCAGGCACCCCCCGGGGAGGCGATTGCTGACACCCACCCACTCACTCACTCACTCACTCACTCACTCACTCACTCACTCAGATGTTAAAAGATGCAGGAACTTGAGTTAATTGACAGTAGAAGGTGAAATACAACGTCAAATACAGTTAAACATAGCCGCCTCCGTGGTCTAGTGGTAGAGCGTCCGCCTGGAGAGCGGAAGGTCCGGGGTTCGATCCCCGGCCGCGTCATACCAAAAGACGTTTGAGGATGGTACTTGTTGTTACCCTGTCTTGCGCTCGGCTTAAAGGGGCTAAAACAAGGACTGGTCGGCTCGGAGTCAGTATACTGTGTCTGAGTAGGGCATTCATGTTAAATTGCGGCATGGTATCTCAGTGAGCTAGCACTATCAATCGGCATCAGTCCGAAACTACTACAAGCAGCCACGCAAACACGTGCATGCCATTCGCTATATAAGTGCAATAATCTTGGACGCGACGTTAAACCCAATTTCACTTCACCTCGACTCACCTCACCTCACCTATCATCATACGATTGAGTGATTATCGTTTTACGCAGCTTTTAGAATATTCCAGCAATATCACAGCGGGGGACACCAAAAATTGGCTTCACACATTGTACCCATGTCGGAAATTGAACCCGGGTCTTCGGCGTGACGAGCGAACGCTTTAACCACTAGGCTACCCGACCGTCCCCTATCATACGAAGTGTAATTAATAAGCGAACCTGCGAGTGGCGAGGAGAAAAGGGACGGAAGACCTCCAAAGAAGACAAGAAGGGCGAATCCTTTGTTTGAATCTCGCACACCGAGAATGTCTGCCATCAGAACACTCAGGAACGACCCGTACACGCCTACACACGGAACAGAGAGTAGAACATTGTACATGATCATGACGCTGGTTTAATTGTTTGTTTGTTTGTTTCATGTCGCACTCAGCAATATTCCAGCTGTATGACATGCATAAACCAAGTCAGCGAGTCTGACCACCCGATCCCGTTAGTCGCCTCTTACGACGATGATAGTCGCCTTTTACGGCAAGCATGGGTTGCTGAAGACCTATTCTACCCCGGATATTCCCGGATTCTACCCCGGATAATCCTGTGATTGACATCATGAGCACCGATCTACGCTGACCACCAGGTCCCTTGTGTTCCCCTTTTACGACAAGCATAAGTTGCTGGGGACATATATTCTTCTTCGGAAACCCCAATGCACCGATCATTTTTGCCAATTTAAAAACAAATATTCAAACAATGCAGAACTATATTGTAAAAGCAGTGTCGGACCATCGCTGTAAGAACAACGTGGTATAAGAATGGATGCATGCATCGTGACACACGTGAAAGTGACTTGCAATAACCCGGGCAAGGGAACATCTGTATCAGTACAACATCCTATATCTGTTTAGAGAGGCATTTAGGTGTTAGAACCTCCACCGAAACGTCGCTCCTAAATGTAACAAAGAAGTTGTTTATCTATATATATGATCAACATGTATATGAGATAAGGGATTATTGGGTGAAAACTCACATTTTGACTTTTCATTATATAATAAAACTTCAGCATCTTCGGAACACCAAAACACAATTCTCAAGCTTGGATGAAAACCTTTCATAAAACTTTTACTGGTGCTTGAGACATCCGCCAATACACATTAAGTACAAATCAAGTGACTGTAGAAACTGTATGTATGTTACTGTACTGCTACATGTCATTGTTATGTGGGATTAAATATCATACTCAACAACAAAAGTACCTGTGACACCAATATTTTAGGGTATTTTTCAATTCATCTCATACAGAGATACATGACATAACACATGGCTTTCTTCACTGAAGTGAGCCATAGCACATTGCACATAGTACAATTGTATCCTATAATAGTACAATTGTATCCTAACACCCATAAGGTCCCTTTTCTCCTGGTGGGTCACATATCTTATCCTTACTTAATATTCTATATGATGGCAAACAATTCGCGAAACGTAATCGTGTTGTAATTTATGATTATGACATCCTGCACCTCGCACCTTGCTGCAATATCGCGACGCCCTGTTCGGAATTTAACCCTGAATTTTGTACTGATTCAAATAGCCACAAGTTAACTTATATTATGCAGCAAGATCGTTTACTGACGCTTCTATCAGATCCTCTCGCTGATAATTCTTTCACTGATGCTTGAGGCATCCGCCAGTACACATTGAGATGTACAAATCTAGTGACTGTAGAAAATGTTTGTATTTTACTGTACTGCTACTGCATTGTTTGGTGGGTTTAAGTATCATTTACATATTTCAATCATGTTTTAAGAAGTGTCTCGTAAGCAAAGAACATGTGATATTTTTATTATGTACAATCTGTGACACTATCATAAAATATATCTCACCTCACCTCACCTCACCTCACCTCACCTCACCTCACCTCACCTCACCTCGACTCGACTATTTACAGACCGACGTCATATAGCTGGAATATTGCTGAGCGCGGCGTTAAACAACAAACAAACAAAAGAGTGTCAATTGTTGTTGAAGGCCTCACTCAACAATATTCCACTATTGCGGAGCGGTTTTGCCCAGAATTGATTAGTAAGAGGCCGTGTCATAGAGCTGAAATTTTGGTGACAACGTAGCAATGAATCCTCCATGTACGGCTGCGTACAAGGCTAGCCCCCAGTAGGTGTACGGGAAGGGACAGATGAGTGTCGCCACCCCACACACCATCACAACCAGGCCCCACACACCAGTAGCGACCAGGCCCCACACACCAGCAACGACCAGGCCCCACACACCAGCAGCGACCAGGCCCCACACACCAGTAGCGACCAGGCCCCACACACTAGCAACGACCAGGCCCCACACACCAGTAGAGACCAGGCCCCACACACCAGTAGCGACCAGGCCCCACACACCAGCAACGACCAGGCCCCACACACCAGTAGCGACCAGGCCCCACACACCAGCAACGACCAGGCCCCACACACCAGCAGCGACCAGGCCCCACACACCAGTAGCGACTACACCCCACACACCAGTAACGACCACACCCCACACACCAGTAGCGACCAGGCCCCACACACCAGTAGCGACCAGGCCCCACATACCAGAAGCGACCAGGCCCCACACACCAGTAGCGACCAGGCCCCACACACCAGCAACGACCAGGCCCCACACACCAGCAGCGACCAGGCCCCACACACCAGCAACGACCAGGCCCCACATACCAGTAGCGACCACACCCCACACACCAGTAGCGACCAGGCCCCACACACCAGCAGCGACCAGGCCCAACACACCAGCAGCGACCAGGCCCCACTCACCAGTAGCAACCAGGCCCCACACACCAGCAGCGATCAGGCCCCACACACCAGCAGCGACCACGCCCCACTCACCAGCAGCGACCAGGCCCCATACACCAGTAATGACCAGGCCCCACACACCAGCAGCGACCAGGCCCCACACACCAGCAGCGACCTCACCCCACACACCAGCAGCGACCAGGCCCCACACACCAGCAGCGACCAGGCCCCACACCAGCAGCGACCTCACCCCACACACCAGCAGCGACCACACCCCACACACCAGCAGCGACCAGGCCCCACACACCAGTAGCTACAACACCCCACACACCAGCAGCGACCACACTCCACACACCAGCAGCGACCAGGCCCCACACACCAGCAGCGACCTCACCCCACACACCAGTAGCGACCAGGCCCCACACACCAGTAGAGACCAGGCCCCACACACCAGCAGCGACCAGGCCCCACTCACCAGCAGCGACCAGGCCCCACACACCAGTAGCGACCAGGCCCCACACACCAGTAGCGACCAGGCCCCACACACCAGTAGCGACCTGGCCCCACACAACAGTAGCGACCAGGCCCCACACGCCAGCAGCGACCAGGCCCCACACACCAGCAGCGACCAGGCCCCACACACCAGTAGCGACCAGGCCCCACACACCAGTAGCGACCAGACCCACACACCAGCAGCCATCAGGCCCCACACACAAGCAGCGACCAGAACCTACACACCAGCAGCGACCAGGCCCCACACACCAGTAGCGATCAGGCCCCCCATACCAGCAACGTCCAGGCCCCACACACCAGTAGCGACCACACCCCACACACCAGCAGCGACAAGGCCCCACACACCAGCAGCGACAAGGCCCCACACACCAGCAGCGACAAGGCCCCACACACCAGCAGCGACCAGGCCCCCCATACCAGCAACGTCCAGGCCCCACACACCAGTAGCGACCACACCCCACACACCAGCAGCGACAAGGCCCCACACACCAGCAGCGACCAGGCCCCACACACCAGCAGCGACCAGGCCCCCCATACCAGCAACGTCCAGGCCCCACACACCAGCAGCGACCATACCCCCCACACCAGCAACGTCCAGGCCCCACACACCAGTAGCGACCAGGCCCCACCCACCAGCAGCGACCAGGCCCCACACACCAGCAGCGACCATACCCCACACACCAGCAACGTCCAGGCCCCACACACCAGTAGCGACCAGGCCCCACCCACCAGCAGCGACCAGGCCCCACACACCAGTAGAGACCAGTCCCCACACACCAGCAGCGACCAGGCCCCACACACCAGCAACGACCAGGCCCCACACACCAGTAGAGACCAGGCCCCACACACCAGCAACGAACAGGCTCCACACACCAGCAGCGAGCAGGCCCCACACACCAGTAGAGACCAGGCTCCACACACCAGCAACGACCAGGCTCCACACACCAGCAGCGACCAGGCCCCACACACCAGTAGAGACAAGGCCCCACACACCAGCAGCGACCAGGCCCCACACACCAGTAGAGACCAGGCCCCACACACCAGCAGCGACCAGGCCCCACCCAGCAGAAGCGACCAGACCCCACAGACCAGCAGCGACCAGGCCCCACACACCAGCAGCGACCCCACCCCACACACCAGTAGCGACAACACCCCACACACCAGCAGCGACCAGGCCCCACACACCAGCAGCGACCAGGCCCCACAGACCAGCAGCGACCAGGTCCCACACACCAGCAGCGACCAGGCCCCACACACCAGTAGCGACAACACCCCACACACCAGCAGCGACCACACCCCACACACCAGCAGCGACCAGGCTCCACACACCAGTAGCGACCAGGCCCCACACACCAGCAGCGACCAGGTCCCACACACCAGCAGCGACCAGGCCCCACACACCAGTAGCGACAACACCCCACACACCAGCAGCGACCACACCCCACACACCAGCAGCGACCAGGCTCCACACACCAGTAGCGACCAGGCCCCACACACCAGCAGCGACCAGGCCCCACACACCAGTAGCGACAACACCCTACACACCAGCAGTGACCACACCCCACACACCAGCAGCGACCAGGCCCCACACACCAGCAGCGACCAGGCCCCACACACCAGCAGCGACCAGGCCCCACACACCAGCTGCAACCAGGCCCCCCACACCAGCAGCGACCAGGCCCCACACACCAGCAGCGACCAGGCCCCACACACCAGCAGCGACCAGGCCCCCACACACCAGCAGCGACCAGGCCCCACACACCAGTAGCGACAGCGTGTGGATCACAGAAAAATGTCCCCAAAGCAAACAAAACGAAACGTATGATTTTCATCACAGAGAAGAATTCCTTTGCTTTGGAACGATTTATAATTGAGATAAGCGGTAATTCATGTCATGCATTTTATTGTATTTTAATATGTTGAACTGCCCAATCAGCGGTCTGGTCATGATGGCTTAAATCTAAAGCGTGAGCGACCTCCGACAACATCTACATTGACATGAATATAGTATTTCGGCCTGTAAATGTTGAGTGAGTGAGTGAGTTGGGTTTAACGCCGCTTTTAACAGTATTCCAGTTATATCACGGCGTGTCAGCTAAATGTTGGAAGAAAGCCTGAAGTGATCAAGGTCACAGACGTTTACCACTTCGGGGAACCCACGAGCACGGGTATGGTGCTGACAAACTTAGAAACATAATCGGGGCGAACCGGGATTCGAACACACAATCATATGTTTCTGGCGTGCCAAAGGGACGCAACTCTGCACAGCGAATCGCGGCGCCTTAGACGACTGGGCCACCCGTGCCCCCGTAAATGTTAAGTAAGCAGAAAGCGGATTGTAGATTTGTAGAAATAACTGGGAAGAATCCGCATTGATATTACTGAAGTGAGTGACTGTGCATAGTTGTACGCCCCATTTAGCAATATTCAAACAATATCACGGCGGGGGACACCAGAAATGGGCTTTACACATATTGTACCCATTGGGGGGAGTCGAACCCGGGCCTGCGGCTTGCCGATCGAACGCTTTAACCACTAGGCTACCCCACCGCCCCTTGTTTGATAATATAGGCAGCCACATTGTCATGTATGCAATACACTTAGTCGGAACTTATCAAACAATGTGAAATGCATTTTTTATCTTTCTGCAGTGGATGAGGGACGTTTGTTTTCAAAAGCAGCCAATATAATTTATAGTGTGAGTGAGTGAGTATTTTTTACGCCGCTTGTGGCAATAGTCAAGCCCCCAAAATTGGAAACACACATTGCACACATGTGGGTAAAGAGCCCTGGCCTTTTGCGTGAAGAGGGAACAGTTTAACGGGTACGCTATCCAACAGTCCCTATAATTAGTAATATGCAAAAACAGTTCCCTGAAATAGCCAAACGATATAGATAATAAACATATTTGGAAATGTATGTTTATGTGATCCTTTTAACACTTCGTCTATTTATACGGTCATGTACCCTTTTCGCGAACACCTGGTGTCAATACTGGTTTTCAATAAATCATTTACATATTTTTCACCATTAGTTCGTCAGATAATCGAGAGTGGAAAATCACTGGCGTTGACGTTATTATATATTTGAAAACTGATCAATTTGGGATAATTACTCCAACTTACGTCAAACTTTTTTCTTCTTTCGGTTCCTGCTTTTTGACACACCACCCCATTCAACACAAGACCTGCAAGTATCCAGAGCGAGCCACGCCATCTGTATTCCTCAAACATGTGGATGTAAAATAGGGGTAGGACCATCGCACCAATACCCCCTCCAGTTGAGCCAACTGCAGAAGCAAAGCCCTGCTTCTTGTGAAAGTAGTGGAGACCAATCACGGCGGACGGGATGAAGGTCACCCCCGGGCCGATTCCTTCAAGTATAAAGATCATATTATACCTATACTTGAGACGTCATGTGCGAGTAACCTATATCAAGATACCAACTGGTGTAATTTAATGGCTTAGATGATACCGGTATCACACACATCATCAACAAATAACAGTTTCTCCTTTGTTTCATCTTTAGCCACCATCAAACATCTGTGTACTCTTCTAAGTATAGTTTGTTTGTTTGTTTGTTTGCCGCCTCACAATGCATTGTTTCAGATTTAATTTTTGAATGATCTTTATTTCCTCCAGTGATTTTGGAGAGTACAAATAGGTATAAGTATTATAAATATTTACTCTTTATATTAGGGGCGGTCGGGTAGCCCAGTGGTTAAAGCTCTCGAATCCCGATATGGGTACAATGTGTGAAGCCCATTTTTGGTGTCCCTCGCCGTGATTTGTTTGAATATTGCTAAAACACCAAACTCACTCACATTATGTCAATACACAGAAGATTAAAGAAAAGTAGAAACACGTGATACATACATCAGTTTGTTATGCAAGATACAGCCACACCAGGGTTTCTCTGGGAAACACACTGTCTATATTTTTTAAAAGAGTTGATTATTTCTTCACTGTGTTCATAAGGTCATGGATCACTGACAATCTTGAAGCGTTACTGCACATACAATATCATGAGCATATGTGAATGAATCACTTAAAAATAATATTCTGCCTGAGACATTACCTCCAGATAATTCTTGCCTGATAAAAACCTACACAAGCAGTTTTTCCCAAAGTGGCATTACCTGCAGACAATGGTCGTCCTGCAAATCTGTCGTGCCACATTTAACAACAAATAATGATTGTGTCCACAGATCTGTTATCATTCCCTGTGCGTGATTTTCTATAGACAACGTTTGCTACCGACAAACCTGTTATTGGTCCCGATGTGTTATTTACTATAGACCGTGTTGCCACCTATAAACCTGGTATTATTGTCAGAGGGTGATTTATGATGGACGATTTTGCCACCTGCACACATGATATTACTGTCTTAGGGTTATTTATGATATACAAT